TTGCATTATTTTAATCAAATATGTTTTAAAAATTGAATTGTTATGAATATTTCTGAGATTAGAGGTACTGAACAATCTTTTTGCAAAAGCTGATGGCTTGCCTTAAAAATGATTGCTTCGTCTCAACTCGTAATATCCAAGTGAATTCAAACTCGAAATAAACGACACCATAAATCTACCACATTCATATTTATACTTTTCTAATTTAATCGTTAATGGCTAAGTAACATACAGTACCGACCGAACACAACCTAACACCAGAGCGAACCCGAAACGGACCCCGGGTTCGCTTCGCAGGTTCGCTCGGGGTCCGTATATGTATACAGTGACATTATGGAGAACATTGATAAAATTCAACTGTACATTCGACGTACATTATAGATTTATAAATATTTCCTTGATTTCGCCGCTATCGGAATTTCGATCCCGAAAAATTTCAAGTTATTTTACTGCGGGCTATTAGGCAATGCATTTATTTTTCATTATTTATAATGTGAAACAAAAACAGAAGAGGAAGAAGAGGGTGTCGAATTGATTTTCAATGTATCGAATGGTGTACAAGTGAAACTGACGAAAGCATTTAAGCAAATTAACTTTCAAATTTATGCGCTATATAGTACTTAATTAAATTTATTATTTTTTCATGCTTTGCTAAATCGTAGTTCAAATGTTTGACAAACACCGAATTATGATATCTATAAATTAACCTTTTGTACACTTGATATATATACATTTCATTTATAATATTTACACCTTGGAAGATCGTAATATATATTTAGTGGACGCTTTTAAAAAATATATTTAATCATATCTTGATAACGCTCAGAATTATGGAGCGAGTTTGATTTTAATCAGAATGAAAAAAATAAAATTACAAATAGTAATTGTTTTCTGGATAGAAATGTAATAATATACCTCCTACTTCACTTTCACACGTTACTGAAATTTTAAATTATTTGAAACAAAAATACAGGAAAAATTAAGACAAAAAATCTTAACTGTAAACTCTCATCATTAAACTAGATTTTAATAATAAAGCCTGATAATTTTTTTTTTGTTACATTCTATGAGTCGTCCTCCAAATTCTGTACTCGAACTGTTTTCTATACGCCTGAAGCAGCTTTTTTTACAATAATATACAGAACGACATACTTGCACAGTGAATTTTTTCATAATAAATTAAGAAGATCAATAATTTTCATTTGAATTTTGATAAATTTGAAGGAACATGCAAATTGAAACAATGGAAATAGAATAATTGAATAACGGGCATGTACATGAACTTATACAATTTGTCAAAGATCATTTATTTTTCTTTTCTTATTTTTCAAAGTTAAAATTGAAATGCCAATTATTTTCTCCTTTTTTTTCTTTTACGCATTGACTGATAGACTCATTATTTACCCAATTTACATGTTTATATCAAATTTTATAAATTGACTGGTTCTGGTATTAAAGAAACTAAAGAAAAGAAATAGGTAAATATTCATGTAACATGTACGACTCCAATAAGATGACCATCCTTTGTAAATAAAAATGAAATCTTCTTGTACGTATCAATTACCTTTTATTTTAAGTGTGTTAAGTACAAAACATACGGACAAACTCCTAATGTAATAGCAAAGGACGCTGTCACAGTAGACCGCCGATATGTGATATTCTATTAGTTGAATGATGGTGAGAATATTGTCCGTAACTTACTAATAAATCTTCAGAAGATCGCATGAGGGTGCCAATTGGTTCTTCGACCGTTTATGGAGACTACAGAATGTGTATCAATAAAATTCCTAAATTTAAGTCGGACTCATCCAACTTCATTTTAAGCAAAGATAAAACGTGACGCCGTTTTAGACACATTGACGTTATAATCCATGCGCCGGAAGGTGATACAATACATGGCATAAAATCTCATAATTTGTTTAGTTATGCATATATTTATCTGAAAGAACTATATGCGGTATTAACCAACATTTGCCCCCCAAAATCAAACTTTGATGGAGTAATATTTAATTAAGTCCTTAAACAGGGGAGTATATGCTGACTTCAAAGCACTGAATAATTTCATAAGTAATGACGTCATATGTACGTAATGACGTCACAAATATGACGTAAATTTCAGTTTTTTATGAATTTTGCAGAAAAATGTACATATTTCGTCGATATTTTAAATAAAAGTCACCGAGCGCATGTGTGTTCAGGATAAATATTTTGATATAATGTGTAGAATGATAATATCAATGAAATATGTCAATATTGTTCCTGAACACACATGCGCTCTATAAATTTTAAAGCTTAAATTGTTGAAATTTTGTCCATTTTGTCCTCTTTCTGAAAAAGGATATAAAATCGGACTAGTTTGTGACGTCATAAAAACAGAAATTGTGAATACACTGCTCTGGAACTATAATATTTTCTGTTAACTTATATTTCTCGTACAATTTATTGAATTCAGCACATTTCAGGAAGTTTTCAAAATTTGACTTTTGTGGGGGCAAACATATGCAATATACCGCATATAGTTCTTTGCTATGTATATTATTAAATGCGTACTAATAATAGTGAAAATTTCAGAACACAGTGATGTTTATTTTTCACACTAGACAACTTGTCCACGATTTTACGGGACAACCCTCGTACATCCTTTAAATGTACACTGTCGTTTGGTAATAAATCAACACAGCTGTTCTGGCTGTTTTAGTAGTCTAGGGTACCTACATCTATTTTCCATTGATTTCGTCATAGTATGACTTAACAGTGCTTCGAAACCAATTACAAATGTTTATTTAACAAATGTATAAATAATAGACTTCTCCCAATGTCTCATAAAATCACAGTTCTATCAAACCATATGAATTTAATAACAAAAGAGATTATTAATAAATTTGATAATATTTTTATCCAAATATGTCTTATGCATATATTACGTAGATATAACTTTTCAACACTATATCCCCAACGATGAATTAGTCCAAGCTTAATGACACCACAGGTAATTGCTTTTGAAACAACAAATTATACAAGAGTAAAATGATGGACATGTTTCAGGATAACAACGTTTACAGACAAATTTATGGAAATGATGAAAGTAAAACCATGAAGAAAATAAAAAATCTAATTCATGGATCCCTATGCCCATGCGTAACAGAAAAAGGAGTAGGACTATTTTTTTCAATTTCGACTTCCGCGAAAGCCAATTTTATGGACGTCCTAAAGTGCACAAATTCGCTATAATAAAGGAGGCAATCAAAAATCAAAATAAGGAGTAAATCATCTGTCCAGATCCAGTAGACCTGAGTTTTAGACCGATAGTTGTAGGACCTAATGCACCTACACAGAGTCCCAGTTAAATACTGGATATTCTCTTGACCTCTCTGAAAAAATGTAACTAGCTAGTTAGGGATGATCTGGATTTTCATAACTACCTCCCAAATCATATTAACGAAGATGTAAAATTGACAACCTTTGATGTTTTGAGGTAATACACTAATATACCAACATATTAAGGAATATAAGCAGTGAAGTTTTGGATGAATAATCATCTGGATATGATCAACATCAAATTTTAGTCGGACGGTATTTAAGAAGGATCAAAATAAGTACTTAATAACAATACTTTTGCATTTGCCGAAAACCATTACATCCAAACTAAAGGCACAGAGACTGGTACCATTGAAGGTAGCGCCAACAAATGCAACACTCATTTTAGGATACCTTGAAACGTTACTTAAAAGTAAACTTATCAAAGTTTGTGGAGAAGAATTTGATAGGGGCAAACTGGAAAATATTTCTGAACGATTGCTTCATTATTTGGCTCGGCGATGTGAATAAATTAAAACAATTTCAAACATTTAATGGGTTAAACTCTAATATCCAATTCAGTGTAGAGATGAATGACGAAAAATTACCATTTCTTTATGTGTTGATGGAGAAAAAGAACACCAGGATAACTACAGATATATGATACACTTCAGTATTTATGCTTCGTTCATGTCATCCAAACCATTCCAAGAGAGCGATACTCTATTACCTGGCAAGAAGAGTTTGCACGATAGAAAGTGATGAAAACACAAGGGCTTTATGACTAGAGGAATTAAAAACTTTCCATGTAAAACGTAAATACCCTATACGGCTAGTGGATGATGGTATAAAAAAGGCTAAGTTTTATGAAAGAATACGACTACTTACGACACGTGACAACTGCAGGGAAAAGCAAATAATACCTTTTGCTCATACCCATAATCCACGTAATGAAAGCCTAACACCAATCGTAAAACAATTAAGGAGGATACTAGAGGAGGATGAAGACACAAACGAAATGTTCAATTTATAAATATCAAACGCCAGGCAAAAAACATAAAAAGTATTCTTTGCACATCTAATTTAAAGGAAAATAACTGTTCCGTAACAAATTTCAATGACCCGAGATGCGGTACCTGCGACTGTATTTTGAAGGGAACCAGCCACGATTTCTAGGGCCAAAATTTTACTGTCAGTGCTGACATGTCCTGCGAAACTAAGAACCTAATTCAGGGATGTAACAAATTTTACATAAAAGAAACTAGGACCACATTGAGAGCTCGGATAAGAGTCCACAAACAGCATATAAACATCTGGAATATGGACAGATTAAATTTAGTGAACATTTAGATATATGCAGTAAGAAACAATTTACCGTTTTCCCGTTCTATAAGATGCTGTCTGGAAACCAAATTCAAAGAAGAGAAAAAACACTTAATTACTACTTTAACACCAAAGCTTAATAACATTGTATTGTTTGACTTTCCCGTAATAATCCAGGGAAAATTACGTCATAGAGACGTAGAACATTTAAAAACTTGATTGTAAAGCATCTGAAAATGTTGAATTATTTTCCTTGATTTATCATATTCATGAAAATAGTGTTTTACATGATTTCTTGTAAATCGGGGGTCTATTTACACTGATATTTTGAATTAAGAAAAAACCCACTCCTATAAACTCAAATTTAAGATTTCATTGCAATGTTGATGGTTGATGCTGCAATGCCACGCCGTAACAAAAATGAACGCAACAGGGATAACGATGAAGATAACAGGAGCTACGCAAAAGGAAGTTAAGTTGCAACTGCATTTAGTGTACATCAGTAGGCTTTGCAGCGGTTAAACATACATCTCTACCAGCTAGGAACACATATGACAGATCAAAAAAATGGCCGTCCACAGGTTACCACACCCAGAGAGAACCTTCAGATTTAGATCTGTTGCATAAATTGTTGCTATAATTGCTGGTTGAAAAAATCAGCATAAAAGTACATAAATTGTTCTCAAGAAACTGAGAGGAACTGGTAATCGTCCACGACATCCGTACTTTGGAAATCCACTAGCACTGAGACATTGCAAAGGACATATGGATTGGTTAAGACGATATGCCACTAGAATTTGGGGGTGATGAAAATGACACCAACTTAACTGAATTTGCAGCGTAGGACATGTTTGAATTGTATCACAACACACTCTCATATCACTTTAAGAAATAATCTGTAAACTGAAAACTTAAATAATCATGTTTGATCTGATCTGAATATGCATTTCCTTTTGTTGAGTATATATACCGGTGTATAATATAGGGAATGACGCAATCCACACCTTAACGAGGGATAAAAACCAGATACTCCGAGTTGATCTCCAGAGTTTTAGTGGAGAACAGGCCTATGCTATGTATTCTGCATTTTACATCGGAGATGAAGCCAATAAATATATATTGACAGTATCTGGATACAACGGAACCGCGGGTAAGTAGTGGAACCCTTCAATGTAGTGAGAGTAAAGTATTGTACATACTGACAATATATGGACATGATGAGGCACAAATACATAACCTGCATCCGTTAATTATCTTAAGGAATCTTAAGATCTTACGAAATCACAAATAGGTGGATTATGAATTTGAGATAAACATAATTATACAACATATATGCACCTGCACACCGATCATATTTGAGAGATAACATGATATGGTTTGATATATTAAAGCTATTTTTCCTTGCCATAATGCGAAAAAGAGTTCAGATGATGACTCATTACATTGTTCAACATTTACATAAAACCTTGACATTTTGAAAACAACATTGGTGATCCCTGTCATATGATAAATGTTTAGTAGACTAAACTGTTATCTATGCTCATTTACAGTAGACAGCTTGGGTTATCACAGTTGTATGAAGTTCACGACGAAAGATTGGGATAATGACATGTATAGTGGTAGCTGTGCTATAAATAACCATGGAGGGTGGTGGTTCAGAGCATGTCATCCCGCAAACCTTAACGGACAGTACGCCCAGTCAGCTGTGTCTGCTTGGCATTACATAGTATGGCAGCACTGTAAAGGAACCGAATAATTAAAGCAGACTGTAATGATGATAAGAAACAAAAACCAGAGCTAATGTATCATCAATCCTGAAATGTTTTTTCTAAAAAATGAATTTATACTTAATGTGGACTAGCTGTTGCTGAGTTCTATCTTTTTCCATCAATCAGAGGGTAACCATGATTTTGAATGAATGTTTCTCGATGAATCAAATCAAAGTTATTTAGATGAAAGTAAAATATTGTTGGGTACGAGCATATACCCTATTGGCATGGTCATAATGACATGTGGGAGCATGACCTCTTGGGTTGCATTTGTAACACAATGAGCGTATAAATTATGTCTAATTGATATATTAATTTGTACAGTACATTTATCTATCTTTTAATATTGCGTCATTAATTATAATTGATTTATCAGTGTGTAGAACGACGGTCAATAATATTCTAATTACGAACTTGTTTACAAACTCTGGGAGATTCGATACAATATGAGTGATATGAGTTCGTCTTCATTTGACGGACAATTAGTTTTTACGATTTGTTTTCTCGAACATTGACACTTTCCAATCAGACCTTCTGCAGAGCTGCAGCAATCAAGTTAACTGAAGAATGTCCAAGATACACAATATTTAATGTAAACAGTGGACATTGCCGTATCCCATAAGGACATGTGAGCCACTTTAGTGAGGGGCGGACTATATTACATGTAATATTGATGAAATGACACTCCGATGTAGTAATTGCTATTACCATATACATGATCCCTTGATGCAGCTTCTTGTACATAAGACGTGCGCACTGCATATCAATAACTTTTAACATCTTAGCTCCCAGACGGACCATGAGAGCTTTTACCATCCTAGTTCCGAGACGAACTATGACAGCTTTCTGATGCAATTACTAGGTGATCTTTCACCATCTTGGCTCCGAGATCTTTGTAACTGAACTTTTCATGTACCATTGTTTTTTTTTTTTTTGTTTGTTTTTTTTTTTTTTTTTTGCCTTTGCTGTGACTTTATAATAAAACTTTAAACTTACAAAAGTCTTCTTAATCCAAACACATTAGCTAATTGTGTTATACATTTATGACCGAGGCAATCGGATATATACACAGTATCAGCATTTTTCTATATTTTTTTTTATTATTTTATTATTATGCTTATTATTAAGCATTATATATTTTATTTTATATATGTGGGGAAGGGGGCAAACCAGCCTTTCAATAAACATTTTCAAAAGTAAATGCTCTGTTTGGAAAAAGTTGGGGGCAGCCCTGACAGTATAAGCAACATTTTCTTATCTATATTTTGAGAGAATGAATATTGGACATTCGTGTACATTTTAATGACATAAAAATTTCATGCTATTGGTTACTATGCTTTACCTTCACATTTCATCGTATGGATAATTTGGATATTTGAAATGTCTTCATCTCATACTGATATATCACAAATCCCTTTTGCAGGGAATGTTTAGCCCTCTAGTACTTCATCCCATCTCTGATGTTTATAGTGTTCCCTGTCTGCTATGCTCCAGATTTATTTAAGAAAAGAAGCTTATTTCGGCTTATGTTATACGGTATAACATAACATGAGGCAGTTTACGCTTTATTAACCGCAAAGGAATTTATAAAAAAAAAAGCGTAAACTGTCCCAATTTATGTTATATCGTATAACAAATGTTTAAATAAGCTTCATTCTTTATCATTCAATTTCAGTGTAGACAGTGAGACATTTTTTTCCTCTGTAAAAGGCTTCATATTTAGTATATTTTAAAGTAACGTCAAACGGAGTAATACGTTTTTGACGTTACTCATTGTAACATAGGCAAGTTATGTTATACAAAATGGATAACATCTTTTACCCAATCAATTGACGTGTTACAAACAAAATTAAATTAAATGGTTTCAAATGACCTTTAAGATTGATAACTATTCGTTTTCCTAATATTCTATATATAAATCTTAAATCTGGAAATTCTCAAATAAATACTTAATAGGTGGCTTCAAAATCATATTTTTATATTGATCGTTTGCCTTCATTTACGTGGTTTTTGTTTTAGATTTGGTTTAAAATCATGCCAATCGTTCATTATTTCTTGAAAACATTTAATGACTTTTTAAAATAAAAACTATAACATAATTGCACGTGTTGGTAAAATAAGTGTACATTTAAATTCTGTTATTTATTCCAAAAATAATACAATTATAACCAGAATTTAAGTTAAGCGTTTTCGACTGCTAGGATAGTTTCCATCCCGAAAATGATGTTCTTCCTGCAGCATCGCTACGAATAGCGCCAGCATTCCATGACTCATGTGTTCTTACAAAGACATCATCACCTGCGTTGACTTGTATCACGACAATTCCTGTTCCCTCGAAGTCTGAACCTGAGGCGGCGTGTGTGTGAAGTATTCCGAGTTCATCAGTATTCA